CCAGCAGCGCCAGCAGCACCAGCACCAGCACCAGCTCCAGGGTCCGCGACACCAGTAGCGCCACTCCGGAGACTGCAGCGCCGAGCGTACCACTCACGGAGCCGCTGGGGAGAGAGCGGCTCCCGCCTAGGAGGGGAACCACGAGCACCAGCTCCAGCAGCACCCCTAGCTCCAGAAGCGCCCCTCCTGAGACTGCAGTACCGCGAGTACCACTCCCGCAGCTGCTGTGAAGAGGGAGCGCCTCCAGGCTCAGCACCCTCAGACGTAGCACTCTCAGGCTCAGCACCCCAAGACTCAGCACCCTCAGGCTCAGCACCCCCAGACTCCTCAGGCTCAGGTCCAGCACCCCCAGACTCAGCACCCGCAGGCTCCGCACCCGCAGGCTCCGCACCCCCAGGCTCCGCACGCTCAGGCTCAGCACCCCTAGCAGGACGAGAGTCGACAGCTACCTCGACAGGCTCAGCCGGGTCTACCTGGGACACACCTGAGGGAGCGGCACCCTGAGGGGGGAGGGGGTCTACCACAGCAGCACCTGGTGCGAGGAAGAGAGGCGGGGGGGGGAGCGGGGCAGTGCGGTAGGGGAAGAGGCGGTAGTAGGGGACCGACTCGTCAAAAGTGACGTCTTGAGAGGGCAGGACACGGCGCAAGGTGGCGTGGTAAAACTGCCAACCAGACGCGTCCGGGACAAAGCCAAGGAAGACACAAGGAACAGCGCGGGAGGAGAGCTTGTCCGCGGACGTATCGCGGACAAAAGCTCGAGATCCCCAGACCCGGAAACATGACGCATCGCCAACCTCTCCCGTCCAACGCAGTGTTGGCGAAGTCTCCGGAACGGAGACACGGGGCCAGAGGTTGAGCTGATGCGCAGCGTATCGGACCGCAAACGGCCACAGAAAGTGGGGGGCAGCCGCATGGATCAAGGAGGTACGAGCGACCTCCATGACCAAGCCAATGCGGCGCTCAGCAACCCCATTCTGCTGTGGAGAGGCCGGAAGCGTGAACGACTGCTCAATGCCCTCCCCCTGACAGAAGGCCCTCAAGAGGTCGGAGGAAAACTCCCCACCTCTGTCAGAGTGCAGACGCAGGACAGGAAAGTCCGAGTGGAACCTCTCGCTGAGCTGGAGACGGGCAGCGCGGATCCAAGGGATCAAAACATCAGGGACCTCACCCTTGGTGCGCAAGGGGAAGACCGTGGTGTAGCGCGAGTAGTCGTCAACAACTATCAAGAAGTACCTCTCCTGACCCTGTCCACGGACGCGGGCTGGGCCCCACACGTCCATGTGGAGCGTCTGCAGGGGAGCAGTCGTCGGGGGAAACGAGGAGGAGTGAGGAGCGGCGCGCTGCCGCCCCTCGACACAGGGAAGACAGGGAGGAGCAGGCGAGGGTGGGAGGGGAGGGAGAACCCTGGGAAGACCAGAGACAAGGTACCGGGAGTGCATGCCACGAAGGCGCTGCACTGACGGGTGACCAAGGCGGTGGTGCCAGAGGACGGTCTCGTGTGCCAGAGAGCGACACGAGCAGGGGGCAGACAGCTGACCTGACGCAGACGCAGACGCAGCTACCTGAGGGGACTCAGTGGTCAGTGTGTACAGGTCCGACCCCGGCTGCCGAGTGAAGGTGGCCAGGTGGCGACCCGTCCGAGCACACGTGCAGTGTGTCACGCGCTCGTAGGCAGGGGTGAACTGGTGGACACCCCCGTCCTGGAGCGCACGACCCGCCACCAAGTTCGTGGAGAACGAGGGGAGGTAGAGACCTGACAGTGTGCCCGACGGAACCGCAGGACAAGGGAGGACAGTGGAGGAGGTCGCAATGACCGGACCCCCAGAGGGGTCAGCGAGGGAGACTGCAACTGGCCGAGCAAGCTGCTCAAGGGCAGTGCGGTCACGAAAGAAACAGCGGGAAGCACCTGAGTCCAGTGTGAAGGTGTGCAGTGCCTCAGTAGACGCAGTACCAGCGGGCGCAGACTCACTAGCACCTAGAGCAGCAGCCTCACCAGCACCTGGGGCAGCAAGCACACTAGCACCTAGAGCGGAGAGCTCACCAGTACCTGGGGCAGCAGACACACTAGCACCTAGTGCAGCAGCCTCACTGGTCCTAATGCCCGGGTCGGGCGGGACACGTAGGTAACAGTCACCCTCTCCACTAGCAGACAACACATACATGGCACCAAGGATAGCATCAAAGTCAAGAGCATAGACATCAATGTTCTTTTTGATCAGATCAAACCAGCGGGGCGTCTCAGTAGCAGCTGGAAACTGAGTGCGCCAAGCGTCGTCGAGGCGGCAGAAGCAGCGCTGCTGGGTGTGCGCCCTCCCACACGTCTGACCAGTGCGGTCACCTGTGCGGATGACGTACGGGCAGCTAAGGCCACCCCCCCCACGCTGAGAGTACCACTCACGAAGCTCCTGGGGCGACAGGGTATGCTGCTGGCGCTGGCCACCGCCAGAGCCTCCACGAGCTCCACCGCCGCCGCCGCCACCACGACCACCACCGCCACCACCGCCACCGCGTCCACTGCCGCCACCACCACCGCCCCAACCCCGGCCACCTCCTCCACCACTGCCGCCACCACCCCCGCCGCTGCCGCCACCACCCCCGCCGCTGCCGCCACCACCCCCGCCGCTGCCTCCACCACCCCCGCCGCTGCCACTGGCCCCTCCAGCCCCGCCACCACCCCCACCACCACCACCGCCCCCCCCACCGCCTCCCCCATCATCACCGCCGCCCCCCTTGCCCCCTTTGCCCTTGCCGCTGCGGCGCCACGTACTCGCAGTGGACGCAGTCCCGACCTTCTCAGCACCAAGAAGGTCGACAGCAGCAGCAGAGGCGACAGAGGGGAGAAGAGGGGAGGGGGAACACCCCTCGAAGAAAGGGGTGCGGGGGTCGCCGCGAGAGGCACCGACAGCGACTATGCTAGTCTCAGCTGCCAGCAGGTGCTTGTCAAGCAGGTCAATGGTGAGCTCGGTGGGGCAGAGAGCAAGGAAGTGGTCCCTGACCGCACGAAGGGAGTCAGGGAGACGGGTGACCAGGTGGTAAAGAGTGAGCCACAGCGGGGGGGGGGTTCTTGGCCAGAAACTCAGCGGGCAGAGCAGCACGGAAGCGGATCTCACTAGTGCGGAGGTGAGTAATGAGGTCAGCGACGGTAGAGAAGGTGGACAGGTCTGGGAACAGATAGGGCAGTGAGAGGCGGCCTAGCGAGGCAGAGGCAGGCGAGGAGTAACGCGCAGCGACAGCAGTGTACAGTGACTGAGCAGTCTTCTGCTGGCTAAAGTGCTCGCGTTCATCTACCGGCAGGGAGTTGCGAATGGCGAAGCGAGAGTGGGCGTCACGAGTCTGCCACTGTGAGCGGGCAGTACTGTCAGCAGTCGCAGCAGGGGCAGGAGCGAGGCCTAACGCATGGTCATACAGTGAAATGTCCTCCTTAGCAGTAAGCTGGAGGAACAGGTGGAGGTCCTCGAGCCAGGTGTCAAAACGCAACGGGCGGCCCTCTGCATCGAAAGCTAGAACTGCAGGACTAGCCATAGTGTGAGGAGCAGCAGTAGCAGTAGGAGCAGTAGCAGTAGCAGTAGCAGTAGTAGCAGTAGCAGTAGGTGGGGCACAGTAGGGCGGCGCGGCTCGGTCAGGGCGGCGCGGCTCGGTTCGGGCGGCGCGGCTCGGGCGGGGCGGCGCGGCGCGGCTCGGACTAGGCTACGCGGCACGGCTCGACGGTGGGCCTGCGCGTGGGTGGCTGTAGTGGGCGGGCCACGGCTGTGCGTGGGCTGCAGTTGCGCGCGGGCGGCTGCCTACGCACGTTCTGGACGGCCAGGAGGGCCGGTCTACGGGCGGCTAGTGGGCTGCTCGTGGGCGGCGCTGGTCGTGCGGGCGGATACCGGTCGGCGCGCGCGCAGAAAAGGCCGCGCGCGGGCTTCTAGCGGGCTACGCGCGCTAAGAAAAAAGGCCGCGCACGGCACTAGCAAGCTGCGCACGGGCAGTAGGAGAAGGAGAGGCGCACGAGGGCGCACTAGGAGAGAAGCGCTCGAGGGCGATAAGTCGATAGGGCGCTCGAGGACGCTTCTAGCGGAACGGTGGGCCCTTAGGTAGGTGGTCCTAGGTTCCTAACCTAGGCTCGTAATACCATGTTAGAAATGAGAAGTGTGTGAACTAGAAAGAGATGGGAGTACAAGTACCTAACCCTAGAGTAGTGTACCCCCTAAAGGCTAACCCACTGTAGCCTAAACAACTACAACATATATAATGTTTGACACCCCTTTCCTCGGTAAATTCGTCAGCAGGGCAGTTAACCTGGCCATGTCGGGGATGAACCGACGCACATAGTTAACGACCCTAAAAAACTATGTAATGTCAGATTTATATGACATAGCTGCTGTAGGCTATAGTGGGGTAGCACATATGGGGTACAGCTTTCTAGGGTTTGTACTTGTACCCAACTTTCCCTTAGTCATTCTCATTCCTCGTAATTTTCACATGGTATAGAGCGGGTTCCCTCGTGGGAACGCTTCCTAGGGCCCACCCAATCGATTTTTTTTTTCCTGCCCGGAGCGCGCTTCGCTCCTGCCCGAGTCGCGCCCCGCGTGCCCTCCCTACCGTCGCGCCCTCTCTAGGCCCCTTACGGCCCCTTCGCGTCGCCCTTAGCGGCCCCTCTTACGGCCCTTCCAGCCGCCCTTACGGCCCCTTGCGCCGCCCTTACGGCCCCTCGCGCCGCCCTTACGGCCCCTCGCGCCGCCCTTACGGCCCCCTACGGCCCGTCGCTGCCCTTCGCGGCCCCTCGCGCCGCCCTTCACGGCCCGTCGCCGCCCTTCGCGGCCCCTCGCGCCGCCCTTACGGCCCGTCGCCGACCTCCACGGCCCCTCGAGCCGCCCTTCGCGGCCTCTCGTGCCGCCCTTGCGCCCCCCCCCCCCCCCCCCCCCCCCCCCCCCCCCCCCCCCCCCCCCCCCCCCCCCCCCCCCCTCGCGGCCTCTTCACGGCCGGTCGCCGCCCTCCGCGGCCCCTCGTGCCGCCCTTCACGGCCCGTCCGCCGCCCCTCGCGGCCTCTCTCGGCCCGCCGTCGCCGCCTCTGCAGCAGCAGCAGCCGCAGTCTCTACAGCGGCCGCGGCCGCCGTCCCCGCAGCAGCAGCAGCCGCCGCCCCTGCAGCAGCGGCCGCCGCCGTCTCTGCAGCAGCGGCCGCCGCCGTCCCTGCAGGAGCGACCGCCGCCGTCCCTGCAGCAGCGGCCGCCGCCGTCCCTTGAGCAGCAGCCGCCGCTGCCCTTGCAGCAGCCGCCGCTGCCCCTGCAGCAGCCGCCGCTGCTCCTGCAGCAGCCGAGCCGCCCGAGCCACCGAGCCGCCCGAGCCACCGAGCCGCCGTTGCCGCCGAGCCGCCCGAGCCGCCGAGCCGCCGAGCCGCCGTTGCCGCCGAGCCGCCCGAGCCGCCGTTGCTGCCGAGTCGCTGGTACTGCCGAGCCGCCGAGCCGCCCTGTCCACTACACCCTGTCACTGCGGTCGCGGCCCCGTTCCTGCTGGCGAGCCTCGGTCCTTCTCGCCTGCCCGGTAAGAACAGCACCTCCTGCACTGCCCTTAGCCTGCTGCTCGCGCTGCTAGTCTACTGCTGTCATGGCTACCCCCAGTGTCCTCGCTTTTGACGCTGAGGGTCGGGCCATTGACTTTGTTGTCTGGGTAGATGAACTGCAGCTTTTCCTACAGTACGATAGGGCAGACGGTCTCTCCCTCTTTGACCTCACCTCTGGTGCCTCTCCTGCCCCTGCTGCTGATGCTGACGCCACTGTTCGCTCACAGTGGGCCACACGCGATGCTGCTGCACGTCTTGCTGTGCGTCGCCACTTGCCTACCTCTGAGCGTGCGCACTTTAGCCAGTACAAGAGTGCTAAGACCTTGTACGACGCTGTAGTTGCACGCTACTCTTCCCCTGCCACTGCTGCACTTAGCCGCCTCATCCTGCCGTACCTCTTCCCTGACCTCGCAGCTTTTCCCACAGTCGCTGACCTCATTACGCACTTTCGCACTAGTGACATTCGCTACCGCGCTGCCCTTCCCGCTGAGTTCTGCGCCAAGAACCCCCCCCCTATGTACATCACCCTCTACTACATAGTCACCCGCCTCCCTGACACCCTTCGCCCGGTCAGGGACCACTTTCTCTCTGTTTGCCCCACCACCCTCACCGTTGACCTCCTGGAGGAGCGCCTCCTAGCAGCAGAGAAGAGCATAGTCGCTGTAGGAGCCTCTCGTGGTGACCCTCGTGCCCCTGTCTTTGAGGGGTGTTCCCCCTCTCCTCTCTTGCCCTCTGTTGCCTCTGCTGCTGCGGCCGACCTCGTTGGCCTTGAGTCGGTCGGTGCGGCGTCTACCCCTAGCGGGAGACGCCGCCCTGGCAAGGGCAAGGGGGGCAGGGGCGCTGGAGGAGCTAGCGGGGGCGGTGGAGGCGGCGGTGGAGGCGGCGGAGGGGGTGGGGGTGGCAGTGGGGGTGGTGGCGGGGGTGGAGGTGTCGGTGGCGGCAGTGGAGGCGGAGGCGGCGGCGGCGGTGGCGGTGGGAGCGGAGGTGGCGGAGGTGGCGGCGGTGGAGGAGGCGGCGGCGGAGGAGGTGGAGCTGGTCGGGGTGGCGCTGCGCAGAGGGTCGGCTCCGGTGGTGTTCAGCGCCAGCAGCAGCAGCAGCAGCAGCAGCGCACTCGTGAGACCCCCCCCCCTCAGCAGCTTCGTGAGTGGTACGCTGCACGCCAGCGGGGTTGGGGTACTGGTCCGTGCACCTACGTCCTACGCACCGGCGACCGCGCGGGTGAGCAGTGCGGGGGTGCGCACTCCACCCAGCGCTGCTTTGGCCGCCTGACGGACGCTTGGCGTCACCAGTTCCCTGAGGCCACTGAGATCCCTCGCTGGGGCGAGCTGTCTAGGGCGGGAGTAGCTATCTTTGACCTTAACTTTGATGCTATTCTTGCTGCCATGTATGCTGTGACTATTAGTGATGAGGGTGACTGTTACCGGTGTTTTCCGCCCAACCCGGCATTGGGACTGCTGCTCTAGGTACTGGTGAGGCTGCTGCTCTAGGTGCTAGTGCGTCTGCTTCCTCAGGTGCTGGTGAGTCTGCTCTCTCAGGTACTGCGTCGGCTTCGGCCTCCCACACCTTCACCCTTGACTCGGGGGCTTCTCGCTCCTTCTTTCGAGACCGCACCACACTCACGCCGCTTGGTCGGCCAGTTGCAGTCTCTCTGGCAGACCCCTCCGGGGGTCCTGTCCTTGCTCACTTCTCCACTGTCCTCCCGTGTCCGGCGGCCCCCTCTGGCACCCTGTCTGGTCTTTACCTCCCCTCGTTCTCTACGAACTTGGTGAGTGGTGCTGACCTACAGGATGCGGGGGTTCACCAGTTCACTCCTGCGAGCCAGCGAGTGACCCACTGCACGGACGCTCGGACGGGCCGACACTTGGCCACGTTTACACGTCGGCCGGGGTCGAGCCTGTACACACTGATCACTGAGTCTCCTCCAGTCACTGCGTCTGGTCAGGTAGCTGCGTCGGGTCAGGTGTTTGCTGCAGCGTCCAGGTCTGGTCCTGAGTCTGCTCCCTGCTCGTGTCGTCTCCTGTCTCACGAGACTCTCCTCTGGCACCACCGCCTTGGTCACCCCTCCCTGCTTCGTCTCCGAGGCATGGCCTCCCGTGTCCTTGTCTCTGGTCTTCCCCGGTCCCTCCCTCCCCTTCCTCCGGGGCCTGCCCCTACCTGCGTCCCCTGTGTCGAGGGGCGACAGCGGGCTGCCCCTCACTCCTCCCAGTTTCCTCCGACAGAGGCCCCGCTGCAGACGCTTCACATGGACGTGTGGGGCCCGGCCCGCGTTCGTGGACAGGGTCACGAGCGCTACTTCCTGCTGGTGGTTGACGACTACTCGCGTTACACCACAGTCTTCCCCTTGCGCAGCAAGGGTGATGTCACTGAGGTGTTGATCGACTGGATCCGCGCGGCTCGTCTCTAGCTCAGGCAGAGCTTCGGCTCGGACTTTCCTGTTCTGCGTCTGCACTCTGACAGAGGCGGAGAGTTCTCCTCTGGCCTTCTGCGAGCCTACTGTCGTGCACGAGGCATCCGCCAGACCTTCACGCTTCCGGACTCTCCACAGCAAAATGGGATTGCTGAGCGCCGCATTGGCATGGTCATGGACGTCGCTCGTACGTCCATGATGCATGCGGCTGCCCCCCATTTTCTGTGGCCGTTTGCGGTTCGGTACGCGGCGCATCAGATCAACCTTCAGCCCAGGGTCTCCATGCCGGAGACCTCCCCAGCTTTGCTGTGGACGGGGAAGGTTGGCGATGCGTCTGCGTTCCGTGTCTGGGGATCTCGGGCGTTTGTCCGCGACTTGTCTGCGGACAAGCTGTCCCCTCGTGCTGCTCCCTGCGTCTTCCTTGGCTTCCCCCCTGACGCGCCAGGGTGGCAGTTCTACCACCCCACCTCTCGCCGTGTTCTGTCCTCCCAGGACGTCACGTTTGACGAGTCGGTCCCCTACTACCGTCTCTTCCCCTACCGCACTCCGTCCCTCCCCCCGCCACCGCTCTTCCTTGTGCCAGGTCCCCCCCCGGTAGACCCCCTTCCCCCTCAGGGTCCTGCCCCTTCAGGTGTGTCCCAGGTAGACGCAGTTGAGCCTGTGGAGGTTGCTGGTGACTCTAATGCTGCTGAGGGTGCTGAGCCTTGGGGTGCTGACTCTGGGGGTGCTGAGCGTGTGGGTGCTACGCCTGGGGGTGCTGAGCCTGGGGGTGCTACGACTGGGGGTGCTGAGCCTGGGGGTGCTACGCCTGGGGGTGCTGAGCCTGAGGGTGCTACGCCTGGAGGTGCTGAGCCTGGGGGTGCGGAGCCTGAGGGAGCTGGGCCTGCTCGTGTGGCGTCTGGCGGTGTTGTGCCTGGAGGTTCTCTGGGTGCTTCGTCTCGGTGGGAGCCACTCTCTCCACAGGAGCTGCGCGAGTGGTTTGCCCGGCGTTGGAGGCGTGCTGCTGGAGCTGGAGGTTCTTCGGCTACTGAGGGTGCTGGTGCCGCGGGTCCCGGAGGTGCTCGTACTGGGAGTACTGGAGCTGCTGGGCCTGCGGGTACGACTGGAGCTGGAGCTGCTGAGGGTGTTGGCGTTGAGGCTACTGCTGTCGGTCCTGGAGGCGGTCCTGCTGGGGGTACTACTGGTGCTGCTGGAGGTACTGGAGCTGGAGGTGCTGCTGGCGCTGGTGCTACCACTGGGGGTACTGGTGCTGTCCCTCCTGTGTCTGGAGTCGCTGCGCGGCCTCGACCGTACTTCGTTCCGCTCCTTGAGCAGGTTCTTGGTCTCCCGCCTTCTACTGGTCCTCCTCCTCCCTTAGAGTGTCCACAGCCTGTCCCGTCACAGTTACAGTTACAGCCGGCCTCCCCACTGCCTGCTCCTTCTCCCTACACTGGTCCTACTGGAGGTCTTGCTGAGCGTCGTGAGCCTGCGTCTCGCCCTGCGTCGCCTGTCCGTGCTGCTCGCACTAGTGGTCGTGGTTCGCGTCAGCGTCCTCCTCCTGTCCCTGGCACGCACCGGATGTCTCTGCGTCCGTCCACTGCTCCTCTGCGTGCCCCTTTGCCTTCTCCTCCTGAGTCCTCTCTTCCTGCTCTTCCTGACCCGGAGTCGGACTCTCTTCGTGCTGCCAGTCCTACTGTCACGCGTCTCCTTGCTACTGTTGTCACTGACCCTTCCTTTGAGTCCACTGCTGCGTCTGCCCTAGTTGCTGAGCTCGTCGACTTTGCTGCTCGCTGTCGTCTAGACTACGCTGCTAGTCTTGTTGCTGAGTCTGAGTCTGTCTGTCCTCCGTCCGTCGGGGGTGAGTGTGCCCTTGGCACGGACGTCCTTGAGGACAGGCAGGAGGAGTTCCAGTGTTTGGCTGCTGCTTCACCTCATCTCGTGTCTGTACTGCTTACCCCTGAGGGAGACCCGGATGCACTTGACATCCCGACTCCGCGCTCTTACGCGGAGGCGATAGAGGGTCCCTACTCCTCTCAGTGGCAGGCAGCTATGGACGCAGAGATGGCTTCCTGGAAGTCCACAGGCACCTACGTTGACGAGGTTCCCCCGCCTGGGGCGAACATCATCAGTGGCATGTGGATTTTCAGGGTGAAGCGGCCGCCGGGTTCTCCGCCTGTCTTCAAGGCGCGTTACGTGGCTCGTGGCTTCAGTCAGCGGCAGGGAGTTGACTACTTTCAGACCTTCTCTCCCACCCCGAAGATGACCACTCTTCGGGTACTGCTGCACATAGCTGCTCACCGTGACTACGAGCTGCACTCTCTTGACTTCAGCACTGCTTTCTTGCAGGGCAGCCTGCACGAGGAGATCTGGCTGCGTCGCCCACCTGGCTTCACTGGGTCTTTTCCTCCTGGCACCCAGTGGAGCCTCCGGCGGCCAGTCTACGGTCTCCGCCAGGCACCGCATGAGTGGCACGACACACTGAGGACTACACTTGCGGCTCTTGGGTTTGCTCCCTCTACTGCCGACCCGTCGCTGTTTCTGCGCACCGACACTTCTTTGCCGCCGTTCTACATCCTCGTGTACGTCGACGACTTGGTCTTTGCCACAGCTGACACTGCTGGACTAGCCCACGTGAAGTCCGAGCTGCAGAAGAGACACACGTGCACAGACCTGGGTGAACTGCGCAGCTACCTTGGCTTGCAGAT